ATTTCAATGCCTTACAATATAGCAAATTGAGTTCAAAGGTCCAATAGTAACAAAGGTACTGTAATCAATTGACCTATCGTAAAAGACAGCAGCTCGATTCAAACTTGCACCATCATTAGTCGAATGTCGCGCTTCACGAGTCTGTTTTACCCGAATTCTCTTATATTCATTGCGATGTTCATGTTCCTGAGCAGTACGATTAGATTGATAATTAATTTGATTCGTTGCATTTCGGGTCCTTCTGTCTAAATTTTCCGCCACCTTTTTAATAGAACTTGCGGACCTTAGACTTACTATGCTTAGGCCCATACTATGGTATACCATCATTGGTCTTATCATGGACTAGCTGTTAAATTTTATTTTATTTTATTTTTCTAAAATAAAAGTAGCCTTAAGAACTAAAAATTAATTTGTTCGTCTTAATTTATTCGTTCCATTAGGTACTGATAGGTTCAAATTAATACATTTACATCCTGCATCATCCCTTATTTTATCCCCATGGGGGTTGATTTTATCAAAATTCTATTTAAGCGAACGTCTTCATCATAGTCAAATTTCAGCCCGTTCCGTCTAGTGTTTGGGCGTTGATACATCACTATGTCAGTCAGTCAATCACCTTTGAGTTATATTTAGATGTATATAACCATAAAGTTTTGGTGATATACCAGGAAACAAGTGTTCCTAGCATCTTTTTATATCAGAAAAATTAAAAAAAACTTGACGTACCTAAGCGGCTAAAATGTCCTACATTAATAGATGTATTTTGATTTGTAACACCAAAATAAAAAACATATGTTATCACGATAAATATAGTTTATTGCATTCAATAAAGTTTTATATAAATTGTATAAAATTACAAATGGCAGTGGACACTTTACACATAATATCTAACGTTATACAAGTCTATAATGAAAATATGAGAATAAATATTAGGAAATAATCAAGTGCTCATAGCAACGTAATCTCAACAATATATTTATAAATAACCAGTTAATTTATTATTATACAGTTAATAGACTTCATTTACAGAACAAACCAGCTGAAGATAACTACAATCTTGGTGATAAACGGTTTAGGCAATGGTTTTCTAAAACAAGCCTTAATAGTTTAAAATAAAGTCGCTTTTGCGATCTGTTCGCTTAGATCTTTTAAAGTACTCAACTTATTTTAATACAGTTTTCAGCAATGGATACAGTGTTTCAAGAGGAAGGGTTACATGTACAAGTAGAGAAAGACAAAGATTTTAAAGCATCCGGACGACGCCGGGCCGGGTTACTAGTAAACAATTGGACGAAAACTCACAATTAATACTAAAAACAACAAAGTTAAACAGAATGACTACGCACCATACATTGCATGTTTACATATATGATTCAAAGTGATTAACAAAGTTCAATCTGGTTTATGACCAGTTTCAGTTGCCTCAAATCTGCTCGAATCCACGACTGCTGGTTTGTTTGGCATCCATAAATTACGTGAGATGTTTAAGGGGGAAGGGTCAAGTGAAATCTCATCTAATCTTATATTGGAGAGATTATTTTTTTTCTGATTGAAAAAAAAAAATCCTACTTGGGTCCATTTAATCCAGATTGTACATGCTTATTACTCTTATAACTCTCAGCAATTTGTTTTAACTAGTCGTAAATAAAAGCACGAAACGATTCTTTCTTCTTTTTACAATAACAATCCAGCGCGTTTACGTAAGAAACCCACATTTTGAAAAATCTCACGTGAGATTGGGGGATGAGGGGGGGGGGGGGGCTTGAATAAAATCTCGCGGAAGTGACAGAAAATTCAAAAAACACCTCACGTATTTTATGGACGCCAGCTTTAGTCTTCAGTGATAATAAATTAACAAAGTGTAAACTAAATTATGATATGTATTAATATTGCACTATATAATTACATCAACCTCATTTAGTACAAGATATATTAAAGCAAGACAAACAAACATAACTTACATTAAGCAACGAACACAACAACGACTTCGCTGAACTTATAAATACTACCTACGACCCGCGAGCGAGGAACAGATCAAGGTGGCCAGTCTCCTCGCGGTCTGAAACTTCTAAGATGGTTGACATAGTTGTAGTGTTTCTTACTTTGCAACTTGTTAGAAATCTTAGAAATTTTCGAACTGGAAGAAATATATGACGAAGAAAGGCTCTGGCTCGCGGACTATAATATTAGTTGCAATTGTAGAGTTCCTTAATTACCAACTTTCTTTGAAATCTTAGAAATTTCCGAACTGGAGGAAATATTTGACGAAAATAGCCTCTGGCTCGCGGACTATAATATAAGTTGTAATTTAGGAGTTTCTGAATTACCAACTTTCTTTGAAATCTTAGAACTTTTCGTCCAGGAAGGAATATATGACAAAGAAAGCCTCTGGCTCGCGGACTAGAATATAAGTTGTAATTTAGAAGTTTCTGAATTACCAACTGTCTTTGAAATCTTAGAACTTTTCGTCCAGGAAGGAATATATGACAAAGAATGCCTCTGGCTCGCGGACTATAATATAAGTTGTAATTTAGAAGTTTCTGAATTACCAATTTTCTTTGAAATCTTAGAACTTTTCGTCCAGGAAGGAATATATGACAAAGAAAGCCTCTGGCTCGCGTACTATAATATAAGTTGTAATTTAGAAGTTTCTGATTTACCAATTTTCTTTGAAACCTTAGAAAATTTCGCCTTGAAGGAAATATTTGACGAAAAATGCCTCTGGAGATGTGATGTGAAAATGATTGAGATGTCATATTTCTTTCTTGTAATTTCATTATCATATGCCCTTCAACTGAAATACAGCTTACAAAGCAAGTAACTACGGGTGAAGTAGATGATACAGTTAACGCAGCTGACTTAGATATTCCAGTTACATATAAACAAAATTGGAGTGTCTGTTTGTATTGAATTGAAATAACCGTTTTTACTACATGCATAATATAAATACGGTACATACACAAAAAAAACATAAAACAATATTTGTCTATCTATTTGTTTGTTCCATCTAATCTCTGAAATGGTTGGACTAATTTTGACGAAACTTTTATTGGCAGGTAGCTGATGTAATAAGGAGCTGATATAATGAGTTACTTAGGTGACTTTTGTTTTAGAAAATGAAGGTTAAATTCCACGCGGAAGAATTCGCGGGGAACAGCAAGTATAATATAAATATAATAAATAAAAATGATACAGTCTGTTATTGTAAAAATATTGTTTACTTATACATATAATGAGATCGCAATATTGTTCAATTACAAATAAATAATCATAATCGAGCAACTGTACATTAAACTCAAGGTTTTGGTGAATCAATTGTTAACAATCAAATTCAGACATATATAAGCTCAGGACAACAATTAACTATTTACAAAGCAAAACATACACATTATATATAGCAATAAAACTTAACTTAACATCACATTTGTACAACAACAGCCATTACAAGCGTCCTAAACGAACGAAGCGAACAAAACCGCATCTCTATTTGTACAGTTTAAAGATATTCAAGAAGATAATCGTTTATACATATAAATAAAATTGGAGTGTCTGTTTGTAATATTGAAATAACCGTTTTTTACTACACGCATATGAATATAAATACAGTATAACATTTTTTACAATTTTTATCTATCTGTTTGTTCCGGCTTATCTCTGAAATGGCTGGACCGATTTTGAAGGGACTTTTATTGGCAGGTAGCTAATGTTATAAGGAGTAACTTAGGCAACTTTTATTTTAGAAAAATAAAGTTAAATTCAACAATAAAATTTAAAAATCTCATGTCACAGTGTTATATACCATATATAAGAAACGGCTTGACCGATTGTGATAAAGTGTGATACATAAACGTGGTAGGTCTGAGAGTAGGTGATTATCTACTTTACCTTATTAGTATGGGGCATACCCTAATTAATAAGGGATGTATACTACTTTGTTTAAATCTTAAAATTTAAATTCACGAGAATTCAATAACGTACAAGTATTTAAAAAAAACATCTGAAGCTGTTCACGATGCAGAACGTTTTATATCATTGATATGAAGAAAAAGAAACAATAGCTATTCTTACACAAATAAGATAAAGCCAATCTTATCTGTAAGAATGTAAGAATTTCTTGCCAATTACTGATTAATTAACACAAGGCGACTATAATTCAATAAAAACAAGTTTATCACTTTAGAATAAATTAAAACAACATATATAATACATACATATCTGAGAGACATTGAAATTATTGCTAATATAACTGTTTGTGATGCAAAAATAAACACAGCGACTTGTATAGATTTTGTTACTTAATTTAAAAATGCTTCACAAAAAGCGGCCTTATCGCTAAAACATCATACAGACAACATACAAGCTTTTATATAAATAACAATTGAGTTTTTATTATCATACAATTCTCCGATAGAAAACAAATTGTTTAATAACTTACATCATCAGTTATTTTAGATAATTGCACAATATTTTTCATATGACATGGAAGACTAGTAATAATCTCAAAATGTAGGATCAATATAAAAATTACAAATACTATATGCTTATTAGTCATCACAAATCATCAGAGAGCGTCAGTCAACATTGACGACCTCGGTGGTCCAGCGGTCTAGTACACCGCTTTACGACCGATGGTCGCGGGTTCGATTCCTCGCACGGCACAAACATTTGTATTCATGAGTATGATTGTTTGTATCGGTCTGGGTGTTTTCTATATATAATATCATACATATTTACAAAAAAAATATCTATGTATTTGTATCAGTTATCTAGTACCCATAAAACAAGCTTTAGCTAGCTTAACTTGGGTCTAGATGGCGCTGTGTGAATTGTCCTAAGATTATTATTATTATTATTACTACTACTGGCAGTATCTTGCTAATTCACACATCTGAATTAACATGAAAAAAACTTTATGTCCAGTCTAATAAGTGCCAATTCACAATATTATCCAGTTTGGTCAATTGTAATGCTTTAAAATTATACTGGTATTACAGTAGATTGGTTCGCTCAAATTTTATAATTATCAGGTCATTGATACAGACAATTGGAGTTAGTATTAGTATACGTAACCTATCTAACATTATCTTTAAAAAAGAAAACAATGTAGCTGCTCTAGCGAATTAGAAAAAATACACTTACAATATTAATCCCAGACGGGATGATGGCATTAGTTAATTATTATAAACAACCAATACAGTCCTCGTATGCTCTGTGAATTATCTTAATTATCAATTGCAGGTACTTACAGATTAGATTACGATAACTACCCACAATTGTCAATTAATTACATATAACATACTTAACATTGTGGATACAGTTAATCGTAAAAGTACATCCGGTTCATCTAGGTAACTAATTGCATCGTTGTACTTAAAATCTGTTTCAATAACAGATCTTATATCACAGTCAACAGTTTAACGTACAATATCAACGAACACAGTTGAACATAGTGTTATAAATTCTTGATGAGTCGTCGCATTAATATCAATATTTCAATCTTGAAGAGAACTATATAAATACAGATCTATTGCATCAGATATAATTTTACTATGATTTGCGAAAGTCTGTTCCTTGTCTGATATAACAGCGCAATCTTAAATTTTTCACGTGTGAAAGGTTCTTGAGTGTGCAGAGATAGTATAATAAATGATAGCACAGATCATCGCCAGCATCAGTACCACAACTGATATGATTCGGGAGAGGCGGTTGCGCAACTTGTAAATGTTGTCTTCCGTTCCTGTTGGGTTAAATTATATATATATATATATAACAAAATCTATTGACAATTGATGTTATATTACCAAGTAATCTAATAATGGTATAGTAAGTCGACACATTTTAATATTTTATACTTAAAATTCATTATTTCAACTAATAAACTAGATGTAAAATTTCTAGTGATCTTGGACCTTCTAAGAGTAACTACTGATCCTAATGTTTAAATCAACTTTAATATGAAAATCTCTATCGTAAGTAAGTTTGTTAAAATTTGATTTATCATAGTCTAAAACAATTTAGTAGCTAATAACATGATCAGAAACATTATTAAATTTGAAAATTTTCCCAAGTTCTACTTGTACGGTATTTGTTGTCTTTAAAAGTAAATGGACCTCACCTTTGAAAATGAGAAAGCCTAAGGGTACACCAACTACCGCCCCCGTCAAGTGCGCTGACCACGCAACGGGATTTACATGCAGTTGTGATTTTAGTAAATCCATCGCAGGCGCAGGATGCAGCAACATCCAGACTCCTTCAGATCCAAGCAACACCACCACGCTTAGAGGACGAAACCACCAATACGGGATACTGCCGACCCTGAGAATTAATTAAAGATATCGCATAATGTTATTTATCCATTTCTACAAAAAAAGAGGACGAGGCAGGCCACCAACTACCTGGTTGACAAATGTCCATAGGGACATGAAGGAGTTGGGCCTGTCAAATGACGATGCTTACCAGCGAAATGTATGGCGCCCCAGGATTAGAAAAGCCGACCCCGAGTAATGAAGGCGAGGATGAAGAAGAAGCATAATGTTATTTATTCGACACTTCCAACCATTGAAATTTGTAATATACCAAGCATTAACAAACAAAAAGTGGGGGAATGGAATTGTTAATAATGTGGAACCGACAACGATGCCATCAATATTAGAATGTATATTACATCACGCTACGTTGTCATTCTAAATTCATTGTATCGTCAACATGAGGCTAACTTGTGGAAATTATAAACGTACAGTTATGTCCGATGAGGTAGTCAGAGACATTGTCAACTGTTGCTGGTGTAAGGAATACAACACTTAACATCGATATTTCGTTGGGTATATTTGAGGGGACGCCCTAAGAAAAGATGGATGGATTGTGGCATGATAAATATTATTTAGATATGACGACTAATAGAGAGCAAAAAACATACTGCCAAATTATTAAAGGCATTGATTTGAATCTTTTGCAGGGGGTGTAATCTAGTGGAACAACAACAACGGTCCAAACTAGATGCTAAATTCGGAACAGAGTTCAACATCAACATAAGCTGTATGGACGATGCTTTTTAAAATGAGCAATGTATAGACAAATCTTTCATGCTTCAGGCTATTAAACACTGAAATGCTTTGCCCCTTGACATTAAATCTAATACTACCAAATTTACCTTATAATAGGATGAGATTTTTAATTAAATTAATACATTAATATATTTAAATCACGCTACGTTGTCATTGTATTTATATATATGTATCGTCAACATATGTATATTATTATATGCTTAAATGTAAATTATATATAAAATTCTCGTGTCACAGTTATGTCCGATGAGGTAGACAAAGACATTGTCAACTGTTGCTGGTGTAAGGTCAACATCAATTTTTCACTTAACATCGATATTTCGTTGGGTATATTTGAGGGGACGCCCTTAGAAAAGATGGATAGATTGTGTGAAAGACGATATGAATAAAAGAAGAGTATGTTTAGATATGACGACTAATAGAGAGCAGTGGAAGAGAATGACATACTGCAAATCAACGTTTTCCGGGACACCCCAATATATATTCTTAATGGGATAAAGGCATATATATATTTCAATGATGATTTGAATCTATTATTTACAGGGGGCGACTGTCTACGTAAAATCTCTTGAGAACAACAAAAAATATATATTAACTAGATGCTAAAAAAGTTTAATTCGGAACAGAGTTCAACATACAACACCAAGTCTACCAAGGGATGCTAACGATGCTTTTTAAAATGAGCAATGTATAGACAAATCTTTCATGCTTCAGGCTATTAAACACTGGAATGTTTTTTTTTAAATTCAAATTCAAAAATCATTTATTCATGTAGGACATTTTAGCCGCTTATGAACGTCAAATTTTTACATTATAATTTATTTTTTTGACAATATGTCCAGTTCGGTATATAGATCCAATTGAGAAGAACTGGCAAGAAACTCAATTGAATTACTTTTTTTTTAAATCAAGTTTATTTAAAATGTATATTTATATAGGTGTCCATGTCTAACATTAAATGAAAATTCAGTGCATGAACAACTATTGCCATGCACACTCGTCATTCAAGTAATCGTTTAGTGAGTAATAGGCTTTGCTCAGTAAATATGATTTAACAGATGCTTTGCCCCTTGACATTAAATCTAATACTACCAAATTTACCTTCAAATCCAAGTTACGAAAACATATTTCCAATGACTTTTGTAATTAAATTAATACATTAATATAGTGTTAAATTATCTACCGCTTTCACTATTGTCTTGATTGTATTTAGTATGTATGTATAAATTTTATATGTATATTATTATTTGCTTAAATGTGTTTATATCTTATATATAAAATTCTCGTGTCACAGTTTTCGTTCCCATACTCCTCCGAAACGGCTTGACCGATTCTCATGAAATTTTGTGAGCGTATTGAGAAGGTCTGAGAATCGGCCAACATCTATTTTAATTCAGAAATGTTAAAATTTTTGTAGTCCACCCCTAATTTATTTTTTTATTTTTAGGCAAAACAACGTTTGCCGGGACAGCTAGTATATATATATTCTTATTTAAGTATGTATGTAGTTGGATATATATATTTCAATTTATGAATTTTATAATAATTGTACCTACTTCCTTTTATTATTTATTTCATGTACCACTTAAATGTACCACCCCCTAATCTCTGTTTGCCCTATGGTCGACTGGGAGAAAATGCCTTATAGTGTTAAGTCCGCCATACGTACCTTTATTTGTGTATTAAAAAAAATTATGGGTACGTACATTAGAGAGACATTGGGTATATGAGCCATCAGTAGTGCATAAACAGCCGCTGATTGGCCGACCACGCGAACTGTTGGCTGGAGTATACCCGCACCCAATGCTCCAGATATAACTCCACCGCTCCACACGAGCAGTACGCGCCACCATCCTTGTTCAATTTCCAATCGCCAACCGACCTGAAGAAGGGGGAAAGGGATTGTTATAATGTGGACTCTTGACCCGTTACTAGCAATGTACCATGTCAGGTTGACCTCCACGTAGGAACCACCTGGAAACTGATAAATTCCTGGTGAATTTGTCACGATGGGCTAACTGACCTGACATCATGCTCATCTTATCATCCTCCACTGGTGCCCCGCCAGCGTAAACCGTTAGCGCAGGCGGGTGCACCATACCATTATCATCCGTAAAAAAACCGACCAGAAGAAATTTCATAACATTAGATATTAGTTGCACTTCTTCACACACGAATCAGCTTTCAAGCAGGAAATGTAGTCAATGATCAAATAGATAATCCCGCAGTTGTAGAACGGATAGGATTCAATATTCCACCGAACTACGTGAGAGGAGTCACCTGTCGTTGTGTCCGACTGTTTGCAACCGCGTCGGTACGCACAAGCAACGCTAGCAATTCTCCCACTATGAGAGCATTGCAATTATTAAATTTACTTTTAGGTAAGGTCCAAGATGCTGACGTGTACACAGAAGCCTTGCCTTCCATAATGAATATTTTTATCATTGTATAGTTTAAGTAGTATGAGGAAGTATGAAAGTGGCACCGGTGTCAGAGAGGTTGAAGAGTAATCGTCTATCATGGTATGGACATGTAATGCGTAGGAACGAGGATAATATTTTAAGAAAGATGTTACAAATGAATGTGGATGGTTATAAGGGCAGAGGAAGGCCAAAAAAGAGATGGATGGACTGTGTGAAAGATGATATGGTAAGAAAGGAAGTAAATAACGCGATGACTGCGAACAGGGATGAATGGAAGCGAAAAACATATTACGCCGACCCCAAATAAATGGGATAAGGATGAAGCAGATGATGATGATGATGATGTATAGTTTAAGTAGTAAAAATAGTTTTGAAATATAAACGTGTTGGCAATTAGCTGTAAGTTTATATTCTGTTAATTAAATAAATAAATAAAGAAAAGAAAGATGAGACTGACCACGTGCGTCGACAGTTTGCTTATTCTCGCGTTCAATCGTACGTTAGCGCAACTAAATAGTGGACATCTGACTATGTTGCAAAGATAGAATTATAAAGTTATCGTTAATCTATACATATAAATAAAATTGAAGTGTTTGTTTGTAATATTGAAATAACCGTTTTTTACTACATGCATATATGATTATAAATACGGTACATATACCAAAATAACACTTTATACAATTTTTGTCTGTCTGTCTGTTTCGGCTAATCTCTGAAATGGTTGGACTTATTTTGACGGGACTTTTATTGACAGATAGCTGATGTAATAAGGAGTAACTTAGGCTACTTTTATTTTAGAAAAATAAACTTAAATTCCACACGGACGATTTCGCGGGAACAGCTAGTAATTTATAAATCTTAAACATGTCTTTGGAAAATAAAATCTCTTGAATAAAAAAATTAAGAAAGTGAAGTAACTTAAAAAATACGCAAAATCACGAACTAAAGAGCGAACACATGAAATAGTAAAATGAAAGCACCAACGATTAGACTTCCGAACTCGCGTGACAGAACGTGTCTTGCAAAGGCAAATGTCTGTAGAGCATTATGTAAAATATTGGATTTGCTATTAAAAGAATTGGGTAAAACCTATTTCAGCTACTAACAATGTTCCCATTACTCCCCTTAAGTTTGGGAGTATAATGCTACGTTTACATTCAGCCGCTTCCCCTGCCACTCGCGCTGCCGGCAATATTGCCGGGCGACAACTGAGCGAGAGGGCTGAATGTAAAAACACGCTGCCACTCGCGCTGCCAGTCCTTTGACTCGCGCACGAAATACCGACAACCGAGGGAGCGTCGGGCTCGTGTTTACACTCTCGCGCTGCTGACATCCGTGCTCACTTCCCTGCCCCCTCGGGCTGAGTGTAAATTTGGCATAAGAGCTAATTAAAATACTTAAAGGAATGTACTTACAGCAATCGCTACAAGAGCATTGATAGTGAGATGGGAGGAACTGGCATGGACGAAGCCATAGGTGAACACCCTCCAAGGCTCCCGCCACCACGGTCCTGGTGGCCACTCGAGCAGCGTGTGCGCATCTTCAGGCAAAGCCAGGTGTATAGTTACCTGCAGGAATTAATGTCATTGTCAAACCATTGTCTATCTTTAGTAGTTTACTAGCTGTTCCCGCGACTTTGTCCGCGTGGAATTTAACAAAATTTTCCGTCATTTTATTCTTCTTCTGTATAAGTTTTCTTTTACTTTGTCCGCGTCTAAATTTTCCGGCATTTTATTAATAGAACTTGCAGATCTTAGACTTACTAGGCTTAGGCCCATACTATACCATCATTGGTCTTATCATGGACTAGCTGTTCACGCGACTTCTTCCGCATGGGATTGCACTATATTTTTCTAAAATAAAAGTAGCCTAAGGAACTAAAATTATTTTGTTCGTCTTAATTTATTCGTTCCATTAGGTACTGGTAGGTTCAAACTAATACATTTACGTCCTGCATCATCCCTTATTTTATCCCCATGGGGGTTGAATTTATCTTAGGGGATGCCTACGTCATAGTAGCTTAATGCATGCAAAGTCTCAGCCCGATCGGTTTAAAATTGACAAAGTTTCATACAAACTTTCATCCCCTATTTTATGCCCCATATAATACTTGTATATGAATATATTTATATGTATGATTATATAAGTATACTAGCTTTTGCCCGCGGCTTTGCTCGCGTTAGGGTAGATTTATCAAAATCCTTTCTTAGCGGATGCCTACATCATAACATCTACCGAGATGCCAAATTTCAGCCCGATCCGTCCAGTGGTTTGGGCTGTGCGTTGATAGATCACTATGTCAGTCACCTATGCGTTATATATAATTCTATAAGAATATTTAATTTATTTACGAACAATACAGCCTATATTATTAACTGTCAGTAGAGTATGTATGTACATTAGAGATGAAACGGATAGCAGTTTGGCCGGATACCGGATATTCGGCCAACCATGTGACCGAATAGCCGGATATCCGGCGGAACTTTCGGAAGGATTTTGATTAATTCTACCCCCAGCGGGATGAAAGTTTCTATGAAACTTTGTCAATTTTAAACCGATCGGGCTGAGACTTTGCATGCATAAAGCTACTATCACGTAGGCATTCCCTAAGAAAGGATTTTGATAAATTCCACCCCTAAGGGGATCAATTAACGCGAGCGAAGCCGCGGGCAAAAGCTAGTATATATATATTTATATATAACTTTGTACTTACTAAGATAACAATCAAGCAAATGGTTAGATATGGAAGCTTCAAGTAATTCAACAATCGTCGAAATAACGTCGGTTGTGTTCCAGTGCTACAGGTCACTGTACTAGGGCTCCTGACTCTTGAAGGTGTAACGAATTGTGGGGAATGGAGAAGCGACTTTTTCTCTTTCTTTTCATCCTCGCACCACGCTTGCGCTGGCTCCGGCGATCGTTTACTTAAAATCCCTCGGTACGGTGGCTTCATTAATCTATTATTATGGACCCCCTGCATTTTTGGACAGGTATTTGGGTTTGTACTTTTGAATAACTTCATGATTGAGTGATCCAACAGGTCTGTACTCGAAGCAATCGTGTCTGCAATGAAAGGTTAATAATGTAAATCACAACTATATATACCATTTCAGGAGGATAACACGTTTTGTTTACAGAACATCGTGAAAATATATAGTAACCTATGTAGAGGAATTCCCGGTGTTATAACAGGAAATAATGTGTTTTCAATTGGATTTGCGTTAGAAGAGATACTTGGAAATTGTTTTTGTTTTGACAACATAGGTTTCGAAATTTCGGTAAACTCTACTAAGGACCTTGTAGAACCTCTTTTTGTTTGACATTTGGTAAGCGGCAAATCGCAAATGTAGATAAAGATAAGATAAGATAATTGATTTATTGCGAACATAACACAAATGATACAATTAGACACAAAATGAGAAATCTAAATATATATAACTCAAAAGTGACTGATATAGTGATCTATTAACGCACAGCCCAAACAACTGGACGGATCGGGCTGAAATTTGGCATGCAGATAGATGTTATGACGTAGGCATCCGCTAAGAAAGGATTTTGATTAATTCTATCCCCAAGGGGATAAAATAGGGGATGAAAGTTTAACTTTGTCAATTTTAAACCGATTGGGCTGAAATTTTGCATGCATAAAGCTACTATGACGTAGGCATCCCCTAAGAAAGGATTTTGATAAATTCCACCCCTAAAGGGATAAATTATTGCGAGCGAAGACGCGAGCAAAAGCTAGTAAATAATGAAATAGAAAGTTGGCAATAGGAGCTGCCTCAGCTGTTACTGATATAATCACAACCTTAATGAGGTGCACGGGTTTTAAAGCGGTTTTTTTAATAGATAGAGTGATTCAAGAGAAAGTTTTATATATATAATACATGAACACCCGTGCGAAGCCGGGGCGAGTAGCTAGTATAGTATAAAATAAAGTCGCTCTCGCTGTCTGTCCCCTATGTATGTTTAAATCTTTAAAACTACGCAACGGATTTTAATGCGATTTTTTTTAATAGATAGAGTGATTCAAGAGGAAGTTTTATATATATAATACATGAACACCCGTGCGAAGCCGGAGCAAGTAGCTAGTAACATATATATTTATAATTTGGATGCCTTTCATTTATTACCGATTGAAATACACCTAAATTGATATGGAATAAAGTGGAATATTTCTGTTTATTAATTAATTAATGACCTACTAAATATCAATATATACAATAGGCAGGTGTATTACCACTTATTTCATTGAATTTAACTGTCGTCATTCACTAATTATCCTTAACGCATTTAAATATTACGAGGTACCATGAAATTATCTGCTTGCTTTGTTATTAGCCATAATGATCAAACTGTACATATGTTCATTTACTAGCCGACCAGGAAAATGACAAAATTAATATTGTTATGAAAAAATGCACAAAATATAAAAAAATATTTCTTGGTGCAGACTACCCTTATCACTTAGGAGTATGAAATAGTTAATAGAATAGAATAGAAAATCATTTATTATTATATTAAATCATTATAATAAAATAAATATCATATAATCATTTATATTAAATAAACTTACATTGAAGCACTTTTGAATAATCATCACATTTTTTTTAATCTACCGCTCATTCGGACAGCTGTCTCATCACAAGAAGAACGAGCAAGAAACTTGTGTGTTGCTCTTTTAAATAATTTATTCTTACTTACAATTTAAGTAGTAATAATAATAATAATCTCAGGACAATTCACACAGCGCCATCTAGTCCCAAGTTAACCTAGCTAAATCTTGTGTTATGGGTACTAGATAACTGATACAAATACATAGATTTTTTTCGTAAATACATACGTATTATACATAGAAAACACCCAGACCGATACAAACAATCATATGAATACAAATGTTTGTGCTCTGAGAAATCGAACCCGCTACCATCGGACGTAAAGCGTGTGCTAGACCGCTAGACCACCGAGGTCGTCAAAAGTACTAGTTGCTACTACCCCGTCTGATATAGTCAATATTGTAATATATAACTAGCCACGAACTTAATCTGCATCACACTTACTTGACATATTATATTTCCCCCAATTTACATAATATCTTTTTAATTTATAGCCTATGTATTATTCTGATGTATAAGCTATATTACTGCAAAATTTCATGAAAATCCGTTCAGTGGTTTTCGCGTAAAAGAGCAACAAACATCCATCTATCCGCACTCACAAACTTTTGCGTTTATAATATTAATAAGACAGAATTCCTATGTATTAGAAATAGAAATAATCTTCATTCAAATAAACTTAATATAAGCACTTTTGAATAGTCATGTTTTTTTATTCTACCGCTCATTCGGAATGCAGATTCATCACAAGAAGAATAAGCAAGAAACTTGTGTGTTGCTCTTTTAAATAAATATTGATTTACTTATATTTAATTAACAACAAGGATTAGGCATGCGACAATCAACATAGAAACCGCTACGCACTTAATCTCTGTTCAATCAGATAACATTGTCAGCGCTATGAATTTTAAGTTAGATATTTTCTACAAAAATTATGTATTCTGGTACATAATGTTGGTATTCTGATGTATAAGCTGTATTACTCTTTTTTTAATAGATAGAATGATTCAAGAGGAAGGTTTATATGTATAATACATGTATATCCGGGCAAAGCCGGGGCAAGTAGCTAGTAAACTATAAATTTCTCGCGGAAACCGAAGGCAGAGCTGTAGATCTATATAATTTAGCTTTTAGGTATACATAATGTTATATCACAATGGATTGTGATCTAACAGTAATTATTAACATATTGTTAAACAAATTCTTGTACTGATTGTGAACTGGATTTATGTGCTAATAAATAAATACTACAATAATCACTATGACTGATTTCCTCTTATTAATTGTTTAACCAGTTGGTTGTATTCAATATTTTTTCTATTTGATTATTTAATTGATGGTTAATTTTTTTTTTTTTCAGGACAATTCACACAGCGCCATCTAGACCCAAGTTAAGCTAGCTAAAGCTTGTGTTATGGGTACTAGACAACTGATACAAATACATAGATAATTTTTTTTTTCTTAAATACATACATATTATACATAGAAAATACCCAGACCGATACAAACAATCATACTCATGAATACAAATGTTTGTGCCGTGCGAGGAATCGAACCCGCGACCATCGGTCGTAAAGCGGTGTGCTAGACCGCTAGATCACCGAGGTCGTCAACTGGTCGTCAATTGGTGGTTTGTATTCACACACTTAAACTTAAATTGTAAAGTAAGAATAAAATTATTTAAAAGAGCAACACACGAGTTTCTTGCTCGTTCTTCTTGTGATGAGACAGCTTTCCGAATGAGCGGTGGATTAAAAAAATGTGATGACTATTCAAAAGTGCTTCAATGTAAGTTTATTTGAATAAACGATTTTCTATTCTAAATAAATAACCGAGATAATGTATAAAATATATATAAACACTATCTTACCTATAGTATTTATACTTCTGAATGTCTATATATATATATATATATAGCGACAACACGACTAGCGTATGTTTAGTTAAAGTCACAATTGAACGCAAGCTTGTACAAGTATGTATTTATATCAAAACATTAATAATAATTTATAAGTTTAGGAGTTGGTTGAACTAAAATGATCACACGACACCGCGTTAGGCGACGACAAAGGATATACTATTTGGGTCCCCAAATACAGATAATAGAAATAAAAAATTGTATTGAAGTAAATATGTAAATGTCAATCTATATAAATAAATCTAAATATATATAACTCATAGGTGACTGACATAGTGATCTATCAACGCACAGCCCAAACCACTGGACGGATCGGGCTGAAATTTGGCATGCAGGTAGAGGTTATGACGTAGGCATCCGCTAAGAAAGGATTTTGATTAATTCTACACCCAAGGCGATAAAATAGGGGATGAAAGTTTGTATGAAACTTTGTCAATTTTAAACCAATCGGGCTGAGACTTTGCATGCATAAAGCTACTATGACGTAGGCATATCCTAAGAAATAATTTTGATAAATTCCAACCCTAAGGGGATTATAACGCGATCAAAGCCGCGGGCAAAAGATAGTAAATAAATAAAATTACAAGTTCTTAATCAATTGTACTAATTGTTAACTTGTATGCTAATAAATAAAGAATAAATAAATACCAGAGATAATGTATAAAAAATAAATAACCACTCTCACCTATAGTCTATAGCAACAACACGACTAATGTATATTTAGTTAAAAGACACAATTGAACACAAACTTGTATAAGTATATATTTATATTAAAACATTAATAATAATTTATGAGTTTAGGAGTTGCTTGAACTAAAATGAACACACGACACCGCGTCAGGCGACGACAAAGGATATACTACCTGTAGACCATCTACCCTTATCAGATAAGGTAATGGGCACATTCTGTTACTCATTGTTATGAGTGAGACAGTAGTATATTTCTATCTCTTTCAAACATTAGGAAATGTTATTGTTACGTTTATGCTGTCCCATTGACGCTGGTCGCACGCACCCCTCTAGGGGGGTGGAGGTTTTTTTAACATTTAATAATAATTATTATTATTATTATTAAAGCTACATATACTTTTGAGTTCGTACACTGTTTGTTGAACAAAAACTATATAAAAAAAGGAAGAAACTTTTAAACTATGTATAAAATAGCAACAGTAGTACCGCACACTGCGTATTCTGGGCAAAAGGTGCTGACTCAGCTGATGCTGTGAGCGTAACGATAAGGTAAAGATAAGATGAGCATAAGGTCAGGTCACTTGGCCCATCGTGTCAAACTCAAAAGGAATTTATCTCGATAGTTTCCAGGAGGAACCGCGTGGAGGTCAACTTGGCAGGGTACATTGCTAGCAACGGGGTTATTTGTCCACATTACAAATTAATTACAATCCCCTTCGTCCCGGGGGGTGAAGGATTTTTTTTTATGGATGATAATAGAATGGTGCACCCGCCTCCGCTAACAGTATACGCTGGCGGGGCATCAGTGGAGGATGATAAGATGAACATAAGGTCAGGTC